AATTTATCATCCATGCAATTACTTTGTACACAAAAAAGTGTGTACCTATGAAACCTTATGAAGGGACAACTTGATCTACATGTATTTCGTCATGAATTGATTGATTATTGGTTGATTAATGTCCAGTGGCAAATAATATTTCATGCATGTTCAGGACGATGTCATGAATTGAAAAACCGTAATAATGTCTGAAGAGAATGTGCCACCTATATATATATGTATATACATGTTCTGATACATCTTTGAGACTTACTTTGAAATAAAAAAAAACATAAACCCTAATATCTTTGATCTATAGGTAGTTGCTTTTTAATGACTATCCGCTAGACTGTCTATGGGGACTTACTAGGGGCGGATCCAGCCATTTTTAAAAGAGGGGTTCTAACCCAGGATTAAAAGGGGGGTGGGGGGGGGGGGGGGGGGGGGGGGGGGGGGGGGGGGGTTCCAACCATATGTCCCATTCAAAAGCATTGATCGTCCAAAAATGGGTTTTTTCCAACCCCCGGAACACCACCCCCCCCCCCACCCCCCCCCCCCACCCCCCCCACCACCCCCCACCCCCCGGAACTGCCACTGCATACTATCTATATGTTTCAAATTTATTATAGCTTTAGTTTTACAGTGAAATTGAAAAATGTTTTCAAGACATGTAAAGCTTCTACTGCAATTTAATTATTGCCTGCATTTGGTCAATTTATTTTGTCATCTTACCATGTAAGGAATTACATGTATAGTAAAACACCGCCTTATACCAATAAACATAACTTACACCAGCAGCTCCCATCTTTTCATTCTGGAGTCAAGGGCCTTTTGAAATCACATATTTTACAACGATACTAGTGAGTAGATTTACAATACTTCGTTAATGAGCTCCGTTTTACAAACACATGTGATACAAGTAGTCAGCCAAAATAAACTATCAATAGATCAATTAAAAGGTTACTCGAGTTGTAAATATGTGCTAAATTGGATAGTCTATGAAAAGGTATATACTATGAAATTAAGAGCTCGGGGCAAGCCCTCGCTCTAAATTTCATAGTATATACCTTTTTATAGACTAACCTAGACTTATGTGTTTATTTGAAATCACTGATAATAGGTCTTAATTTATAGAAGAATTGTAATTTTGAAAAGACGTCTCAACAACAGTTTAAATAATGGACACAATGGATAAGCGTTGGATCGCTAAAAATATATCACCCTCCGGGTTCGTGGTATCTTTTCAACGAATCAAAAACTTATCATTTGTTTTCAACTTTATCAAACGTACGCAAATTTCCTTCTTGTCTGTCGTAAAACTAAAACGTACAATCAAGAAGCTGGCGATTAGGAATATTAACCTCAGATACAGACTGTTTTAAGCAAGTAAGTAAGTAAAGTATATATAGAATCGACATGTATGTACAATCAACAATAAAAACGCGCTTAGAAAAGCTCTCAGACTGGTAACCGACTATAATTTCTCAATTGTAAATGCGACTTCAAATTAAATTGTTTTTGTTGTATTACTATCATTTGGAGATTTTAATAACACATTAAATTGACATGCTACTGTTGTGCACTTAAAGTTATCTGGGTTTTTCCTAGCCAGTAACCAGTGATCACCAGTGTATTTGTATACTGTTATGGAATTAATTTATTTACTTAAAAATGTTCAGTTAGCTTCAAGACAGGAAATAAATAAAATTATACTATTTATTTTATCCCCGGGCGATTCATAGCATTTCCCGGTCTTGTCTTGTTTCCTTTTCTATGTTAGAATGAGGTTAATAATTCATTCTTGATTATATGTCCTAAATATATAGAAATATTTCAGTTATAAAATCATTACGAATTATCATCTCTTACTTATTGCTCATTTTCGAATATAAGAATAAAATAAGAAGCTTTTAATGAAAACCATATTCTATCAACCATGTTGATAAAGAAGAGTGTCACGGTTAAACCTATACTGGTGCCATTTATATATGTTTTCGAACTGCTTGAACGCTCATACGAGATATTCTTGGTTTTAATAAGGGAGATGGTATGGATAACATTTGAAAAATGAGAAATGTGTCAGCATATTTAACAAATGTATCTTCTTTTATTAACTGTAGTGTTTTGTCAACAGTGAATGCGAAAATGGAAGAAAACATCGATTCCCTGGGAACCGAAATTTATCTGTGGATATTGTTTAGCTCAATCTAATTAAAATAGATATCTCTGATTTCGTTATACTAATATATACGAGCACGTGAGTTAATATAGATATGAATTTTAATTAGATTGTTTTTACCTTGGCTTTCGTCATCGGGCTGATTAATACATTATTTTTCTGTACATATCTCACACATGAGAACATTAATTTTTGTTTACAATAAATACACTGTTTTGGTGTTGAGTATGTCATTCTCCGATTTTTGTGCATCTTATTGGATTGTGGATTTTTCAATCCAGATGTGTGCAGTGTTATATTGTCCTCTACAGCAATATCTGGAATTTGTTCAAACATTTATATTTTGTTTATTTCTTTTGAAAGATGTATTGCCACATTTTCGATCGTTCACAGTAGTTTCCATGACGTTTCAAGTTACAAAATAACACTCCTGTTAAATGTTGTGTATGGAGCATGTTTATCTTTAGTATTGTTTTATTACTCGAAAACATGGCAAATGAGCTTTTTATTACAGAGCGTAGAGACTTAATCGACATACTAGGAATAATTGCCGGTCTTATTGAAGTTATTTCTGCCATTGTTAGTTTTGTAACTACTGTTCGACTTGTATTCAATAGAAACAAAGTTACTGCGACCTACTTTAACATGCAAACTAAGCAATTGTTTCAAAGTCAATAAACCATGAATGAGGGGCGAGGTCGATCGTATAATTTCCATTGAAATAAGATGTGCCAATACGAATACAATTGCATAATTATATCAAATATCATTAACCTACCACTAGTGGTTCCCCCCAAACTAACCTTTTCACAAACTAATACAAGTCATTGTTAACACCGCTGACGCCGGCACTCCTGTTTCGCCTTCGCGACTTCGTTTAGGCAAAAACCATATTGTTTGACTTCTTTGGGATTAGCGTTACTTTTCTATGTAATGTAGTTAAACATTATGCATGCATTAAACTTCTGTACTGATTTGCTCCGGACATTTCACTAGTTCTCGTCACCCTGTACTTTTATGAACTGCTGTCCCCGTCATCACAATGTATGACGATTTGATTTAATATTACAGCACTTTGAGCTTGCTTTCAATATCGGTGGGCACATTTTTATTCTGCTTACGTATACCCTTTCAGAGTACCTGAGATCACCAAGGGTTTTGTTGTGGGGTTCCTGTTGCTCAGTCTTTTGTTGTCTATGCAGTGTTTTTAAAGCAAGAGAAAATTCTGAAATCTTTCAACAGATACGGCTACAAGCTTGTTAGACTCAATACTTCAGTCGAGTAAAATGGTTCTTTCTTCCTATGATCTCACAATTTTTTAAGATATTTACTGGCCTCTCACAACATGCCCAAATACTGTCGATTTTGATAAACTTTTGTGAGAAGACTTCATGCAAATTTTAAGAAGTGTTTTCCTTATACATTTTTTTCTTGAGCAGTAGTATCCAACCAACGACTGTAACTACCTTAGCCCTCTGTAGTATCGTATTACATTTTGACCCAGTCATGGTTTGACCCGGTCATGGTTTGACCCAGTCATGGTTTGACCCAGTCATGGTGGGGGGGGGGATGCGCTCAAAACTCCGCTGCCGGACCTCCTACGGCACCCATTAGTAGTTAAGTATTTGATTTCAACAAATTAATGTATGACCTGCATGTACGTGTCGCTTAGACAATTTGTATAACCTTTTGTTTTTTAAATAAATAAGAAAAAATTAAACCTTTTAAATACAAAATTCATAAGATAAAAATGTTCCCTGTGGAACCCCTCCTTTTGCTCCCTCCATTTTCACCACTTGAATTTGGCTTTCCAAACTAATTAGAATTAAAACCTTGCTTTCTAACAGATCTATTCATGTGCAGATCCGGCAACTCTCTTTATTTAAATAGAAAATCTACAGTGCCGTTATACACATGCATGTTGTTTGCTTGGAGTCCCCGCCTGAAAAGAAATAAATATCCTAAGTCCAAATCTAACCCTGAGTTTTCTATCTGTTATATGCCAAGAAATCCTCGCTCAAAACTCCGGTGGACCTCCTACGACACCCATTAGTAGTTAAATATTTGATTTCAACAAATTAATATATGACCTGCATGTACGTGTCGCTTAGAACACGGCAATGTACCAAATGGTCAATATAATTCATCCGTGTAATTTGCTCTATGGGATGTTTGCAAAATTTCAACGGAGGAAATTGGAAATTTCTTGGCCATGTTAACAAGCGGCGCTTTAAGGTTTTCCTGTACCAAGTCAGGCTATCTGTACCATGTGTTGTTGTTTGTCTGTCTTTGTTCTTACTTCAAATCCAATTACAACTAATAAATAAATCATGTTCTTCCATACTAACTAAGAAGCAATCAGTACACATCCATTGGATTTAGAATTAAGTCGTCAAGGACAGTCCAAGAAACGTATGATCTTGCGTAATGTCAATATATAAGCAAACTTAATATCGACAGAATGTAGGATAATGAACTCATACATTTACTATATAGCAATATATATTCATGATCAGTTATGTTTTTTTGTTTTCAAACTAAACATAATCAAAGTTAGTCACCAATAAAAACAATACGGATAGTTGTCTCACTCAGGCTGGCAATCATATAGGCCTCATGCATCTCCTTACTTTTATATTTAAGATTTTACTGTCGCCTTAAATTCATACTTTAAACGTTACTGACTATTAAATATGTTTTACCTCACTGTCAGGAAAATTTGATATCAATTTACCGGCAACAAGTTGTATCTCCTTTGAGGGGAATAAATTGTGTTGCCTTATTACCTGAAACCCGGAATTACCGTTTTTGACTTTAAAGTTGTTATGTTTGATCAACTTCCTGCAAATTGTCTATTCAGATTTTTATCTTCATTGGTTCATGTTTCACGCTACTTTAGAAAAGGAACAGAGACTGTTGGCAAGGTATGCATGCAACAAACATCACGATACCAGCAGTGTGTCTGAGATGCTAGACACCATGAATTGACAAACTCCAAGAACGCCGTCTAAGAACTAAATGAATAGTGTTCAGTGACTTTCTATACTATGTTAGTATAGACTGTCCCTGTAGTGTTCAAATATAAAATAGTAAATAAAAATATTGCCATTCCATCACAAAATTTACTACATCATTCAATAAATACTCCTTTGGTATAGACAAATACAATGTAATAAAGACAGCTACATATTTTCTTTCTTTTGTCAAACCATTAAAAACTGGAACAAATTATCCTCTATTATATAAAAATAAATACTTTAAATTTAAAGAGGGTAAAATCAGTTAGTACAATACTTATCTCCCCTGATGCCCTCTGAATAACTTAAGGGTCATCATAACAAATGGACAAATATGGCCGTATTTTAACCTAAAAAATTACTCTGTGTACATACTTACCTGTTTAGTTTGAAAAGTTTTAAGGCCTGGCATCCACTAGATATATAAAAGTTAAATGTATTTTGCATATCAGAAAGATAAAATCTTTTTTGGATTTTAATGGGCATTTTTTTTCGTTCCTGCAGAAGGTGTAAAAATAAACTAGGTTGGGATACAACTTTGAGATGCTCCCTCTCAGGTAACAACTGGTTTGTATTGTATTGATTGTCCTTGATTGGCATAGACAATAGACAGACAATAGATATTTACACATCTATAGATGAGTTAAAAGTAGTAACTGAGTGGACAGTATCAAATGCAATTCAGGTGTTTGTTTATTTTTACACCTTCTGCAGGAAGGAAAAAAAATGCCCATCAAAATCCAAAAACGATTTCATCTTTCTGAAACACAAAATGCATTTTACTTTTATATATCTAGTGGATGCCAGGCCTTAAAACTTTTCAAACTGCACAGGTAAGTCTGTACACAGAGTAGTTTTTGGGCTGAAAATACTGCCATATTTGTCCATTTGTTATGATGAACCTTAAAATATAATAATATTATATATGCATATACATAATAATAAATACAACTTACTATGCAACGTTAACACAAATGAGATATAAGTGTTACTTTTTATGAACATATTTTCTTAATCATGTTAATGATGTACACTTAATTGACAAATATATGGATTTTTAGACTATAGATAAATTTCTGTGATAATCATTATTTCGTTGGTTTTACATGTTGTATATGAATCTGATAATTAGCTTTTTATATGACAAAAACAAGCATTTTTCTAGTTTCCAGACAATAACTTGTGTTTAAGTGAATGGATCTCTCTGAAATTGTACTACAAGGTTCCATACCACAAAGGGAAGGCTGGGATTGAGTTTGGGGGTAATTGCTCCAAACTTTTAGAAATTAGAGGCAAAAAAGGGGCCAAAAACAAGCATTTCCAACTTTCCAGACAATAACTTGTTTTAAAGTTTATGGAACTCTCTTAAATTATACAATTTAAAAAAAAATGGGGGGGTTTAAAAAAGTTGGGGGGGGGATTTTTTTTCCAATTTTTTTTTGGGGGGTTCATATTTTTCTCTTCAAAATTTTTGAAAGATCATACTTTTTTTCTTCAAGAATTTTCAACAACAAAAATTTTGGGGGACAAAATTTTGGGGGATTTTTTTTTTTTTTTTTCCCCAAAAATCTTCCATTTTTACATTGACTATTTCTGATTTATATATGAAAGCAACAAATACTGATATGACAAGAGATTCACACCAAACAGGGTGTGTAAATTATTATATATAACAGATTAACTAAGTATTGTGCAACAGCACAGTATTGCGCAATATCACAGTATTGGGCAGTCACAGTATTGCACAATAGCAAGAAATCTTCAATTGAAAATAAATACAAATCTTTTAATTGCGCAATAGCAAGAAATCTTCAATTGAAAATGAATACAAATCTTTTAACAAATTTCAATGGGATTAAATCAAGTCTATAATTTTTGGGGGTTCTAACCTTGTATTACTATTTTGGATATTGGGCCTCATTTTTAAATTGGTCTACATTGAGGTCCAAAGGGTCCAAAATTAACCTTTTTTTATTTCATCAAAAACTGAATTATTGCAGCTCTATGATATGCTGAATCTTATTGTGCATTTAGATTTTTTATTTTGGGCCCTATATTCAAATTAGTCCATGTTAAGGTTTGAAGGGTCCAAAATTAAACTTTGATTGATGTCAACTAAAATTAAATTTTTGGTGTTTTTTCATATGCTGAATCTAACCATGTTGTTAGATTTTGGATATCAGACCATACTAACTATGTAAATTAAATGCCCATTTCAAATTTTTAAGATCTTTGACCACATTTATTTTGTGTCAGAAACCTACATTATGTCAAAAATTTTATCACAATCCAAATTCAGACAGTATCAAGCTTGAATATTGTGTCCATTTTTGCCCCAACTGTTCATGGTTCGACCTCTGCGGTCGTATCAGACTGCGCTCGGCTAAGCATTTCATTGTTCTAAAAACAAGAAATTATGATAGCTTTGTTTAAACTGTTCATCTTTTTTATTTCCACAGGAATACTGTTCCATAGAACAATACAAAAATATTGAAATGTTTTTTTCATAAAATTTGTTCGCGGACATGGTATGAAAAGATAAAAAAATGTATAATCTAAAAACAAAAGAAAAATTGTAAAAATTGATAACATAAATATTACATATAAAAATAAGAAGATGTGGTATAATTGCCAAAGAGACAACTCTCCTCTAGAGACCAAATGACACAGAAATTAACAAAAGTAGGTCACCGTACGGCTTTCAATAATGAGCAAAACACTAACTGCATAGTCAGCTATAAAAGGCCCCGAAATGACAAATGTAAAATAATTCAAAAGAGAAAAACTAACGACCTAATTTATGGTCAAAATAATGAACGAAAAACAAATATGATACACAGAAACAAATGACAACCACTGATGAATTACAGGCTCCTGACTTGGGACAGGCACATACAGAATGTGGCGGGGTTAAACATGTAAGCAGGCGCCCAACCCTACCCTTAACCTGGGACAGTGGTGTAACAGCATAACATAAGAACTATAAAAATCAGTTGAAAAAGGCTTAACTCATCAGATCGATACAAAGCAGAAAAACATCAAACATTAACACAGACTGGATGTGGAAGGGTATTTATCCATCCATCATCCCTTACAACAAAAAAGACACTAAGTACAGATCTGAGAGTACTCGCAGTAACTGACAGCTAGTTCAAAGCCAATAACAACTAATAAAAAAATTATGTATCTAAGACTAAAATATTAATCAGTACACATCCAACATCCAATGGATTTAGGTAAAGACGCCACTAACAGTCAGAGAAAAAACATGACATTGTGCAATGCCAAAATTAAGGTATCGACAGATTGTGGTACCGTTAAAGTGCATATTTGTATAACAATATAAAAATATATGTATTGTAATGATTGTTGGTAAAATAGTCCTGCTACAGTTTTTTTTCAAAAATGGAAAGAAATTTAAAAATTAAAATGCTCCCAAAGACTATGGAATTTAATCTGGGCTTGAATTTCTAATCTTTTTGTTATTATAATTACATATTTCCTTTTCTTCTGTACATGTTATATATGTCTCTCAAGTCAATGCTAGGGGGCATCTTGAACCTAAGCTTGCTTAAAATTTGTGTTTTATAGCTATTTCTTGTCTTGGACATCTGTTAGACTTGGGAACTGTCAAGATGTAGACAAGTTTGGTTCCTTAGAAATACACCTGTATAAAGGTATATGTACATTGTATTTACTGTACTGCATAAAATAAGAAGTTGTTGAATGATTGCCAATGAGACAACTACTTCCACCAGAGACCGAATGATGTAGATGTTAGCATCTATATGTCATGGCACTGCCTTCAACAATGCGCAAAACCCATAACACACAGCAAGCTATAAACATGATAAAAGGCCCAGACATGACTATGTAAAACAAATCAAACTAGAAAACCAACAGTCTGATTTATGTACCAGATAAACGAACAACAAATATGGTAGACTGCGACAACCACTGAATAACAGGCTCATGCTGCACACATTTGAAATGGGAACTTTTACCACATATTCCTCTATGTTAAGAAGTACAATTGTTTAAATTTCAGTCTTTATATAGCTAGATGATCTAAGTAGTACGAGACTGTGCTTCATTATACTTTTGATTTTAGATTTCTTACACAGCCAGGTGTATATATGACAAAGTAAGTTTATATTGATAAGAGTTAAACACACATAAAACCAAGACTTAACAGATTTATCATCTTTATTTTACAGTGAGATGAGTTGACATCAAAAAGAAAAGGCCATCCTTGGTAGTTGATTCTAAAAGCAGCAGGTATTTAACAAATTTGCACCATTTAACAAGTTTAAATATTTTATACTATACATGTGTCACCAGTATAAATCTGTTGCATTAAATATGATTTCTTTGTTTACATGGTCAGTATATTATATTAAAAAAACTTTAAGAACATAAAAACACACATCTATTTTATTTGACACATAAAAATATTTTCAAACAGAAAAAAAATTATACAAATAATTTCCATATCAACACTTTCCCTCATTTTTCTCAGAATAAGATCTGAAGACATCTCAAAACTTGTCATGTTTATTTAATTTTCTGCATTTAATTAAATGTTTCCTTACAAAGTTTTTGGTATTTTTTAATATGGACTTATCAAAAATATTGTAAGGTAATCTGCAAAATATTTTCGCTCCTTGCCCTGAAATTCTTTGTTCTCATCAGTCTATTTTTAGGACATCATGCTGATTTTATGAAACAGTAAAGTTTCATTGTATTGTTCATTTTTGTCGAGCCTTAGACTTTTGTCGAAAAAGCGAGACATAGCGATCCTACATTCCGTTGTCTTCGTCGTTGTCGGCGGCGGCAGCGTCCACAAATATTCACTCTGGTTAAAGTTTTTGAAATTTTAATAACTTTCTTAAACTATCCTGGATTTCTACCAAACTTAGATAGAAGCATGTTTATGATCATAAGATTGTATCCAAAAGTAAATTTTGTAAAAAAAAATTCCATTTTTTCGGTATTTTACTTATAAATGGACTTAGTTTTTCTGCCAGGAAACATTACATTCACTCTGTGGTTAAAGTTTTTAAAGTTTTAACAACTTTCTTAAACTATCTTGGATTTGTACCAAACTTGGACAGAAGCTTGTTTATGATTAAAAGCTAGTATCTAGAAGGAAATTTTGATAAAATGTTGTTCCATTTTTTCCTTATTTTACTTATAAATGGACTTAGTTTTTCTTCCAGTTAACATTACATACAGTGTGCAGTTTAAGGTTTTAAAACATTTATTAGATTTTTACCAAACTTGGACAGAAGCTACTTACAATCAAAAGATAGTATAGAGAGGAATATTTTTATTAATTTTTTTCCTCATTTCTGTTGAGCCTGCGATTAACAGCAAAAGTAGGCGAGACACTAGGTTCTGCGGAACCCTTACAAATTTTTTGTAAGGAACATTTGTAATAAAAAAACCAGCCTGTTACATGAAACGAGTGTAAGTGTATGGATCTCTCTGATATTGTACCTTAAGGTTCCATATTACAAAGGGAAGGCTGGGATTGAGTTTGGAGGTAATTGCCTCAAACATGTAGGAATTAGGGGCAAAAAAAGGGCAAAAAACATGCATTATTCTAGTTTCCAAACAATAACTTGTGTTAGATGTGTATGGATCTCTCTGAAATTGTACTACAAGGTTCCATACTACAAAGGAAAGAATTGGATCGAGTCTTGGGGTAATTGCTCCAAGGGGGGTTTCCAAAAGTCGCCGGGGGAGGGGGGTTTCCAATTTTTTAAAGGAATTCATATTTTTTTAAAAAATTTTCCAATTTTAAATTTTGTAATCACAATCAAAATTCAGACAGAATCAAGCTTGAATATTATTTCCAAATTTGCCCCAACTGTTCAGGGTGCGACCTCTGTGGACGTATCAGGCTGCGCTCAGCAAAGCATTTTATTGTCATTTGCAAAACAAAAAAAAACACAATTTTATGATTGACAAATCATTGAGAGATAATGGTTATGAAGAAATTTCCTTTAGGAATTTATTGTTGGACGTGTTGAATAAAGTTTTAAATTCAGTTCACTTTTGGAAGAGCCCTTGTATATGTTTATTGTTTTCTGTTTGGTATTAAATTAATAAATAAGATCCATTTTGTTACATCTGGTGATCCGTTTATTTGGCAATTGCCAATGGCAGTCAGCAGCGTTTAAGAACATCCGTTGTTCGACCTGCTACCGGTAGTCAAATGCCTTTTGTTAAAATATACTTTTTTTTTTTTTTCTTTTGGAAAATGTTGTTTGTGCTGTCTTTAGACCCCTCTACTAAGAAATTTGTTTTGCATGCACACGTATAAAAAAAATTTTTATACCGCTATATAAACAAGTCTAAATTGAAAACAACGTTCAAACCTATGATTGCGTTGGATAAAAACCGCATTTGACTAGCATATATGGCTAAGAACACATATGTATAGACTGCAGTTTGTTACTCAAGTTTTATTAAATTTATGAATAAGTATTTTATTCCATTTTCTAGGAAATTTAAGACATAAAATTAATAATATTTGACCTTTGATTACCTATTTTATAGGAAATAAACTGCATCATACCACATCACCTTATTTTTATTTGATTGAGATACAATGTGTCTTATTTTTTGAATGATTTTAGTAAATTTGAATTTGAGGCCAGGTCAGGGTATGTTAGTCTTAAGGAAATGTTGTCTTCATATAGGTTATACATTCATGTGATATTTAAAAAGTAACCAGGTAACATTTAAAAGATAAATTTGAATATTTGTAATAAATGATATCTGTTTGTTGTACTTCAATACTGTAGATTCATTATTATCCGTGGGATACAAATATTTGTTGATTTTGTGCGGATAAACATGTTAAATGAACCACCAATTTCAATGTCAGAGGAAGTAAAAATTGTCTATAGACTGTAATTGAATGCAGACTAGGCAAAACCACAAAATCATATATTGAATATCCACGAAAATAGAATTGTTCCTTAATTCACAAAAATTGGTACCCACAAAAATATAGATTTGTAATTCCATTGTGGTATATTTCAGTACAAAGTTACCAATCACAGATTACCACAGATACTGGTATTACCATAGACATGGAAGTTCAGAAAATAAAACAGGAAGTTGATGAAAGTAACTACAATTGCAGTGTACAGCACCAGTCTGTACAACACACACCCCTCAGGGAGAATATTGTCTGTAAAGTCAAGGATGAGGTTGGTAGCATTTGTACAGTCTACATGCAAGAGGAAGACAATACGGAGAAAGACACTGAAAGTTGTACAAATAGTCCAAACATTCCCCAGCAAGCATTAGAACAACAAAATGAAAAGTCGTCAATAGTTTATAACAATGTTGAAAGCAGTGAGGCTAATATGTCACCAGAGACTGTGGATGTTGATTCTAAGGAAGAACAAATAGTTCAGGCAGATGACATAAAACTTATGCAGGATCAACACAAAGAGGTTCCACAGGTTCCAAACTACCAACCAAACCTAAATACTGTTACAAACTATCCTGGACTGTATATTCCAATAGTTCCATCATTTTCAATCCACCCAATGTCAAACTCTCTGTTGTTACCTCCTGTCACTTATCCTCAGCAGATGGATACACATTTAATTGGAAATCAGTTACAAAATTCAGAGCAATCTCAAAATTCTTCTATGATATTTTCTACCACTGCTGCCCAGGAGATGCATACAAATGTAATAGGAAACCAGTTGCAAAATACTCAGCAACTTGAAAACTCTGTGTTATTAACTCCCAACACTGGTTCTCAACGGAAACACAAAAATGCAAAAGTAAACCAATCAAAAAATTCTCAGCAATCAAAAACGTTTGCTGTGGTAAGCAATGCAGTCAGAAAAATTGTACAAGGTCAGGAGTCATCAGACGCTGAAAAACATCTTCAATGTAAAATCTGTGGAAAACTTTACAAATTATCGTATCCCTTTATAAATCATATGTTTAAGGTACATAATATTGATGTAAGTGCAAACTTTGAAAAAACAAATGAGAAGTTTTCCTTGTTCTGTGACACATGCAACAAAGGTTTCAAATACAAAAGTGATTTGGAGAGACACCATGATACACATATGGATGACAGACTGTACGAGTGTGAAATATGTAATATAACATACAAATCCAAGAGCAATTTAACAGATCACATGAAGATCAAACATTGTGATACCGCAAAATATACCTGTGCAGTATGCTCTTTAACATTCCCGTCAAAATGGAAGTACGAAATGCATCTGGTTTCCCATAGCGATGCTAAAAATTTTGTATGTAACCAGTGTGGTAAAGAGTACAAGTATTTCCATACTTTAGCTGATCACCTAAAAAAACATGTCAATGAAAATTCAAATTTGTGTCAATTCTGTGGTCAAGGATTTAAATCTAGAGGTCAACTTAAACATCATATGAAAGAAAAATTTGGTGATGAGATTCACACTAAAGTCATAGAATGCCATGATTGTCAAGTCTGCGGCAAGAATTTTCTGACGGGTAAAAATTTAAGGAGACACATGATTTCCCATACTGATGAGAGAAACTATGAATGTACGGTGTGTGGACAGAAATTCAAGCAGGGAGCCCATCTCAAAGGTCACATGGGAATCCATGAGAGAGAAGAAGAAAAGAAAAGAAAAACAGAAATCATTGTTCCTAAAATTATAACATGCGAAAAATGTCGTAGTGAATTCAAAACACAACAAGAATTTATAGATCATTTGAAAGAAACAGCATATGATTTAGTTCATTCTAAACCAAAAGATAATACTTGTAAATTTTGTGTGAATAGTCCTAGGTCAAATTATGAATGGTATACCCATCAGCTTACTCATACTGATGGAAGGCCATATTTTTGTGGTATATGCGATTCAGAATTTAGAATAGTAGAAAAGTATAGAGATCACATGTGTTTTCATCTGAAGTTTGATATAACTGAACAGGCTGACTTATCGACATTTGGCAATGACAATGAAATTAAATATGTATGTAAGGAGTGTCCTACACAATTTCTGACCAGACAATCTTTACAATGTCATATATTAGACAGTGGTGGTGATAATGTACATTCAGTGCCAGAATTCACAACTGTATGTTTCCCATGTACAATTTGCAAAGCAATATTTGAGAGCAAGGATGATTTAGTAGGTCATAAAAGTATACATGAAAAAATGAGTATATTTCCATGCAAAGAATGTTATCAAGAATTTGATTATTATTATAAACTGAAAAATCATATTAGTTTACATCATAAGATTCAGAGTACAGAAACATTTAATTGCCAACTTTGCAAATTTGAATGTAATAGTAAAAGAGAACTTAAAGTCCATTTTGTGGAATCCTCTGGGGATGGACTGCATACAAGAAACAACAGTTTTGTGTATTCTAATGAAGCTGTGGAATGTGGAATTTGTTTAAGGCAGTTCCGTTCAAAATCTAGTCTAAAGGTTCACATCACAGTAAAACATAAGAAACCAAGTAGAAAGTCAAAGGCTGATAATATTGAATGTCCATCTGAGGCTAGCTCGATGGATGGGAGTCTTCCATCGGCATCATCGTCACTGAATTCTACAGATATTGTTATGAAAGAAACAAACCTAGATAGTTTATCTGAAGAAACTTCAAATTCTGCAACTTCCTCAGCACTTACACAGGACAAAGAAAGAAATCCTGGTGACAGTAGCTTACCTGAACCATTACAAACTATATATGCTGACAACTGTGCAAAATCTTTTTCATGCCAAATATGTAAGAAAAAGTATAAAACTAAGAATACTGTTAACACCCATATGAAGACTCACAACAAAAACTTCAAATGTGACCTTTGTGATAAAAAGTTTTACTACGATAAACAGTTACAACATCATATTGATAACCAATACCAGTGTAAATTGTGTCCAGAAAGGTTTTGTAAAGTTTCACATTTCCGGAAACATCATAATGGGCACCGCAATAACAAAGACTTACAATGCCCACTTTGTCTAAAGAAATTTTTATACGAATTAAATCTTAAACGACATATAAGCTTGCATTCTAAATTTGATACTGGTCCATTTGAATGTAAAATTTGTAAAGCTACTTTTAAGAGGAAAGATACATATTCTTATCATGTACGTGATCACGAACACGGAAAACAATTTTTATGTCATGCATGTGGAAAACAATTCTCTGTTTTACAAAATCTAGTCTCTCATGCAGCAACACATGACCGTGTTCATGGTATTAAGAAGAAGTCATTTAAATGTGAAAAATGTGAAAAAACCTATGCCAATAGAAATGGTCTTAATGTACACACTTTGTACAAACACACTGATAAAAAGTTAAAGTGTAGATATTGCAGCAAAATTATGGCTATTCCCAACACGTTGAAGCGTCATGAGCTCCGTCATACTGGTGTTAAAAAGTTTGAATGTGAATATTGTGTTAAAAAGTTTTACACAAAAGATTTATTAAAGACCCATATTGTTGTACATACTAAAGAGAGGCCATTTAAATGTCAGATATGTGATAAAAGATTTAGTCAATTTAGTGCTCTTTCCAGACATAAGAAAACTATGCATTAAATAATTATTAGATGATGTGCAAGTGCATTGAGTGAAATGTAATTTAAAAGAATCAGAAATCTTTTGTAATCATTCTAACTTTGTTTTACTGCCAAAACCCAATCACGAGCATTGAATTACATGCATGCATGTATGGTCAGTTTAAATTGTCATAAACAATCAGAACTCATCAGATGAAATGCACACTAATCATGAAAGCTTTCAGGAAATTGAATGTATGAATGAATTGTATTACCATGATTACATTGTATATATTTGAACAATACCTTGTTACAACAATACCTTGTTACAAAATTTGTACATATGCATAGTCAATGATAATATTATGTATTAAAATGAATCATTGTTCATTTAGATTTGAATTAAGTGTGGTGAAGTAATACCAGATTGATGTCACTATGGTAGCATTCAGCATTCATTTAAAAAAACATATTTTAACTCCACCATATGTTTTGTGTCAGGAACTCTTGTTATACATGTTATATGTAAATGTTTGTATGTCTGGCCAAAGTCAGGAACTTTGTCATGCAGTGGTCATCTTTTGTTATATATGTAAATGTTTTTGTCTTTTAAGAATTTTTGGTCTTAAATTTATTCACAATGACGATATAAAAGCTCAATAGAGCTTATGTTTTCTGTATAATGATCTCGTCTATAAATAAAGCTTTTGAACTTGAACTTGAACACAACTTTTAAGATTGATTGATTGATGCCTGCTTAGTTAACGTCTAGGGTGATCTCCCTTACTAGTGACAAGAACACAACATAAGTCATGTTTGTGTCTAGAAAGCAGATGTATAACTTATTTGAATAAATTTACTGAAAAACACACAACAGGTACAGTTAATTGGTTTTTGTTTGTAGTTTTATAATGATAAATAGGGAAGGGCTTTTTGGAACCTAATCTCTGAATAGAACTTGTCTACTTTGAGAATTTTTACTGATTACAGATTGATTAAAGGTTTACATTACAAGTTCACACTTTACAATTGTTGCCAGGTTTATGTTACATGTGCGCTTCCTTTAATGTGTGTACTGTTGTCAGTAATAATAAGTTATAAACCGGTTGATTTAATGTTGTAATAATTTAAAAAGGGGGACACTCACGGGTAATGCATTCCCCCTATTGATGTTTCAGTATGTGTGCACTGTTTAGATAAAAGTCACTTGTAACTGAATTCTTATAATGATAGATAGAAATAAATTTTAAGTAATGTTGTGAGAGTCCGATATTAAATTATCTTTAGATTTGTGATATTTATTATGCCCCTGCCATAGCGGTGGGGGCATTTAGTTTTACCCTTGTCCGTCTGTACGTACGTACGTACCTCTGTCCGTACGTCCCAAAATTGGTTTCTGTTCTCTAACTTGAGTTTGCCTCAACCAAATGTTATGAAACTTATACACAATGCTTATTACCACAAAACACAGATCAAGTTTACATTTTGGTTGCGTCACTTTAATTGTTCTAGAGTTATGCCCCTTTATAAATGGAAAAATTGCAAAATTTTTAGTTTCCGTTCTCTAACTTAAGTTTGCCTCAACCAAATGTTATGAAACTTATACACAATGCTTATTACCACAAAACACAGACCAAAGTTGAATTTTGGTAGCGTCACTTTAACCGTTCTAGAGTTATGCCCCTTTATAAATGGAAAAATTGCAAAATTTTTAGTTTCCATTCTCTAATTTAAGTGTGCCACAACCAAATGTTATGAAAATTATACACAATGCTTACTACCACAAAACACAGATCAAGTTTGGATTTTGGTGGCGTCACTTCAACCGTTCTAGAGTTATGCTCCTTTATAAATGGAAAAATTGCAAAATTTTTATTTTCTTCTAAATATCAAGTAATTTTTAAAATTGGAGTTATCTTCCTTTGAGAAAGATTATAGTTGAATCAACTACAATCAATACTTTATACAATGCAATGTTTAATTTTGACTTCCACTGATAAAACACAGATCAAGTTGAATTTGGGTAGTGTCACTTTGACCATTATTGAGTTATGCCCCTTTATAAATCGAAAGATTGCAAAATTTTTAGTTTCCATTCTGTAACTTAAGTTTGCCCCAACCAAACATTATGAAACCTATACACAATATTCATTACCACAAAACTAAGATCAAGTACAAATTTTTTGTTTACGTTTTCTAACTTTAGTTTGCCTCAACCAAATGTTATAAACTTATACACAATGCTTATTACTTCATAATACAGATTAAGTATGAAATTTGGTGGCGACACTTTTACCATTCTTGAGTTATGTCCATTTATAAACATAAAAATTGCTGAATTTTTTAGTTTGTCTCAACCAAATATTATAAAACTTATATACAACTGTTCTAGAGTTATGCATGTTTATAAATAGAAAAATTGCTGAATTTTTAGTTTCTGTTCTCTACTTAAGTTAGCCTCAACCAAATGTTATGAGACTTACACACAATGTTATTACCACAAAACTCAGATCAAGTTCAAATTTGGGTAGCGTCACTTTTACCGTTCTTCAGTTATGTCCCTTTATAACTATATGATATGCAAGCGGGGGCATCATCTGTGTCCACATGTGGACACTATCCACATTTATTTTTTTATTAATCAGGTATTTAAAAAGGTAAAAAGCTCGAGTTATAGTTCTTCAAAAACGCCATTCATAATGATAAAATAAAAAGAATACAGTTAATTAGGCTTGGCATATATTATAATCATCTGTCTATTGTTAAAATAATTAAAATGTATGTTAAAAGAAATCCAGAGATTCACATACATTTTAATTTTATAGATTACTCTCAGATTTACATGTATCCCGTATTTCCTATTATCTTACCTCCTATACATTTCTTGGAATATCATTGGTTAAACATTGAGATGTATTGCTGTATATATCATAGAACTTTAAGATCAATAGCTGTATAACCATGATAACAAACAAAAATTCAAAATGAATAGCTGTTTAACAAAAATGTCAAGATGAATAGCTATAACAATTTTTTTTTAAGATAAATAGCTGTATATATAACAAAAACACTTTAGGATGAATAGCTATTACAAATTTTGTTTTAAGATAAATAGCTATATACCAAAAAAAGTTTAAGAATGAATAGCTGTAAGTCAGGGACAGTCTATACTAACAATACTAGTATAGACTGTCCCTGTGTAAGTGAATAAAATAAGTAATCAATTTTTATGCTATGGGATATCAACTTTTATTTTCTTCTGATTGTATGGTCATGGAAATCCTTCATTTTCACTTTATGTGTACCTTGTATATATGTTATGTTTGTTTAAATTTCTGTTTGAAAACTGAGATTTTTTATGTTCATTATCAAATGATTATTGAGTCAATTGAAAATGCTGATATTGAAAGATAATCACATTTCCTGAAATGGTTAATTAATTGTTATATGTAACTGCTGTGTGTCACAAATATATCAAAAAGTATTTTCTTGTGGTGAAAAATCAGTAAGAACATGAAGAAGGCAGCTTTTTTTTGGTTTAAAATTTGCAACTATAACTGAAAGAACCCAGACCTAGGGAATAAGATGTATCACCCAGTTTTACTTACATGCCTAATACGACAGGTGCCACATGTGGAGCAGGATCTGCTAACCCTTCAGGAGCACATGAGGTCACCCCTGTTTTTGGTGGGGTTTCTGATGCTCAGTCTTTAGTTTTCTTTGTTGTGTTTTGTAAACTGTTTTTTGTATTTTGATTTTTTTTCGTTTTTTGTCATGGAGTTTTCAGTTTGTTTTTTCGCCTTATGAGTTTGAATGTCCCTTTGGTAGCTTTCATCTCTCTTTTTCAAACATTTTAGTTATAATTTGCACATGTTCCCATAGGCAGCACATGATGATGTCATCTGTTTTCATGAAAATAACAAAAATCACTTGTAAACGAAAAGGTGTGTTTGCACATTATTTGAGAAAAATTTATGCTTTTAAGATGGATATTTCATCCGATATTTAGATCGAGCTACTCAGATAGGTATAAAAAATTCATAAGTAATAATATCATCAATATATAAATATACACATGATACATGAGAAGTAAAACATTTTGTACTCAGTTTGCAGATATGTTTATTGTTGTAAAAATTGTGATAAATTTACAACATGCTACTTACTAAGTAAGATAAAACAATATTAATGTATATATTTATGGCATATTTATTCCAAATACAATGTTATGTATTTTTCTGTATTGCATGGTTTATATATAAATTATTACAATGTACCCCTTTAACTTAGATGTAACTTAAAGTTCCATTCAATTCTATCCAGATGACATTTAATAGTCCCAAAAACCATTAGATTCTTGAAAAATTCTATATTAATTGATTTTAATGACATGAAAGAAGGTTGTGAGCATACAAAAATATTCAAAAATTTAGAATGAACAGAAAGTAAATTTTGATGTAATGGGAGCTTTTGTCGTCATTTAAAGCCTAGTGATCATAGGTTTACCATGGGTCCCAGCTGTGCATAACTTTAAGAAAGCATTCTTAATGGGTTCACTTTGACATTAGTGATTATTTTCCTTGCTAATCAACCACCATTGTCTTGTATAGTAGTGGTATTGATCAGTTAATACAAGATACTTTCAAGTTTCATTTAAGGTTATAAACTTATGACCAATTTACAGTCTTTTTAATGCATTATGAACAATCCATTATCAGTCTCTATTGTCAGGTTTGGTATGGTTACCTGTATCCAGTGTCTTGCAATCATCTTTGAGTATATCTGAAAATGTTAATCACAGTAACATATAGGTGCAAATCAAAACTATCTGTATACATTTATTTCTGTTATTCAGCAGAAGTTGTTTGATTGGGGTTAGTTCCTATGTGATATTCATGACAGATTAATGATATTTGATATGTGGATTTTCTGTGAAGAGGTTAGATGTTATGGCTGTGATCTTATTTTCTATACTGTGGTAGTTTTTTCAATAAGTATGCATGATCTGATGATAGATCAACAATTATGAGTGTGTTAAGTTGTAATCAAACATTGTTTGTTTCGTATATGTGATTTGACCATGACCCAATTTTCACTTTGTAAAGTTTGAAATTAGGTCTATATTTAAGAAAATAAACAGTAGATCTGCAGTATGTAAATTTATTATTATAAACAGTACATGTACGTCTGGAAGTTTTTTGGTAAAGATTGCATGAAAGCAATTTAAACCCAATGGTACTGACTTGATATCTAAGTCTTCCAAGGTTTATCACTACCTTTGATAGTTCAAACAAAATAGAGCAGTGAAGTGATCATTATTTAGATCATATCCAGTCAATGTCTTGCAATTTATTAATGCTATTGTATACTTAGATATTCAAGTTACAATATGACGTGTATTTGAATGACCATACTTGTCAAGAAAACTTTTCTTTATTGAAAATTGCATAAGTAATAATTCATGGTGTATGAATCTGTTATAAAAATAGACTCATCAACCACAAATGTACAATCGTGAACAAAGGAAGATAACTCCAACTCAAATTTATAATTTGCCTATCTAATAACAATTCAATTTTTTTATTTTAAATTCACAAATTTGCAAAATGAAAGCAATCTCTACCCTTCTGTGCTCACAAGCACTTTGATTTTTACTTTGACTTCAGATTCAGATATGAAAAAAATTGATTTGTGGAGGTCACACAACAATGAGACCACAGGTCAACAACACCAGTAACAAAACCACATTTAAAGTTGAAATTTGGAACCAATAAGTGAATATATATATCCTAAAAAAAAACGTTCTTTCCAGTTGTGGATCAGTTTTAAAATAAACAGTTGATTTTACTTAATTGAAATTATATCAATGCCAAAGAATGTAGTATATATTTCAAATCGACCATAACTGACCAATTTCATTATGGAAAGTGGTTATGTACTGAATCAGTATCAAGCTTGTCCATGTAACTGAAGAATAAAATGTTTGCATTGTTACAATGGAAGAGGTCACATTGTTTGCCTCCATACCATCACATTTTGTCGGAAGATTAGTTTTTCAAGTACTATGTGTAATTGGGCAACTATATTTGCATGGGCCATAAATTCATTTAGGGTGTACGTGACCATATAACCTTGCCTCGTTTATGGTTCAAGTTAACGATTGATGCTTAGGTCAGTTTCTCAAGCTACTATGAGTAATTGGTAAACTATATTTGGTCTGAAGATGCAGTCAATGTTAATTTTTCACTCAATATGTTATTTTTTATGCCCCCGCCGTAGCGGAGGGGGCATTAAGTTTTACCCTTGTCCGTCTGTACGTACATCCGTCCGTACGTCCCAAAATTGGTTTCCGTTCTCTAACTTGAGTTTGCCTCAACCAAATGTTATGAAACTTATACACAATGCTTATTACCACAAAGCACAGATCAAGATTGAATTTTGGTGGCGTCACCGTAACCGTTCTAGAGTTATGCCTCTTTCTAAATGGAAAAATTGCAAAATTTTTAGTTTCCGTTCTCTAACTTAAGTTTGCCTCAACCAAATGTTATGAAACTTATACACAATGCTTATTACCACAAAACACAGATCAGTTTTGAACTTTGGTAGTGTCACTTTAACCGTTCTAGAGTTATGTCCCTTTATAAATGGAAAAATTGCAAAATTTTTAGTTTCCGTTCTCTAACTTAAGTTTGCCTCAATCAAATGTTATGAAACTTATACACAATGCTTATTACCACAAAACACAGATCAGTTTTGAACTTTGGTGGTGTCACTTTAACTGTTCTAGAGTTATGCCCCTTTATAAATGGAAAAATTGCAAAATTTTTATTTTCTTCTAAATATCAAGTAATTTCACAATGCAATGTTTAATTTTGACTTCCACTGATAAAACACAGATCAAGTTGAATTTGGGAAGTGCCACTTTAACCATTAGTGAGTTATGCCTCTTTATAAATCGAAATATTGCAATTTTTTTAGTTTCCATTCTGTAACTTAAGTGTGCCCCAACCAAACATTATGAAACCTATACACAATATTCATTACCACAAAACTAAGATCAAGTACAAATTTTTTGTTTCCGTTTTCTAACTTAAGTTTGCCTCAACCAAATGTTATGAAACTTATACACAATGCTTATTACTAAATAAAACAGATTAAGTATGAAATTTGGTGGCGACACTTTTACCATTCTTGAGTTAAGTCCTATTATAAACATAAAAATTGCTAAATTTTTATACGCCCGTTTACGGGATGTATTATGGTATACAGTTGACCGTCTGTCCTTCAGTCGTCAACATGTCGGACATTAACGAAAAAGCTTTAACCAATATGCATGAAACTTTGGTGAATTGTTTATATCTATTGACGCGAGCTCCCTTTCATTTTTTATAAATTTCAGATTTACCGTTTCTGAGTTTTGGGATTTTATTCATTAAAAAAGGGGGGATTTTCCAGTTTTTCCGACAATAACTCAAGAATGCTTTCACCAACTTGCAAGAATTTTTGGTGAATTGTTTATATCTATTGATATGAGCTCCCTATCGATTTTTGAAAATTTTAGATTTTACGTTTCCGAGTTACAGGGTTTTATTCATAAAAAAAGGGTGATTTTCCATTTTTCGGACAATAACTAAAAAAATGCTTTCAGCAGTTCTCATGAAACTTTGGTGAATTGTTTATATCTGTTGATGTAAGCTCCCTTTAGAATTTTATAAATTTTAGATTTTATATTTCTGAGTTATGGGGTTTTATTCATTAAAAAAGGGGGGATTTTCCAGTTTTTGGACAATTACTCAAAAATGCTTTCAGCAGTTCTCATGAAACTTTGGTGAATTATTTATAGCTATTGATGTAATCTCTCTATTGATTTTCATAAATTTCAAATATGACATTGAGAAGAAATTGAACTTTATTTGTTTATAGTCTGACAACAGATTTACTAAGTATTGCGCAACAGCACAGTGTATTGCACAACAGCAAGTAATCTTTAATTGAATATAAATTCAATTCATATAACCAATTTCAAGTTCTCTGACTACATTTATTCAGAAACCTATAATATGTCAAATATTTAATTACAATCCAAATTCAGACCTGTATCAAGCTTGAATATTGTGTCCATTTTTGCCCCAACTGTTCAGGGTTGGACCTTTGCGGGCGTATCCAGCTGCGCTCTGCGAAGCAGTTTATTTAGCTGGTCTCAACCAAATGTTATAAAACTTTTACACAACTGTTCTAGAGTTATGCGTGTTTACATATAGAAAAATTGCTGAATTTTTAGTTTAGTTTCTGTTCTCTACTTAAGTTAGCCTCAACCAAATGTTATGAGACTTACACACAATGCTTATTACCGCAAAACTCAGATCAAGTTCAAATTTGGGTAGCGTCACTTTTACCGTTCTTCAGTTATGTCCCTATATAACTATATGATATGCAAGCGGGGGCATCATCTGTGTCCACATGTGGACACTATCCACATTTATTTAAATTTTATCTACTATAAATGATAGATCAACTATTTTGGTTCTATAGAATTGTAAGGTCGATATTACTATCTTGCAATAAAGGTTTGAAGATTTAAGAGATTTGATCACCCTTCAGTAAATTGTAGTTTCCTAAATTTTATACATTTTTGTATTGCATAAAGAAACGAAAAATAAACATGACTGATTGATGTAAATATACCCATAAAACACCTCTTTTTTTGTTGGTCTGTGAGTTGTATAAATGTACAGTGTATCATCCGGACTGATTTGAATGCTTGATTTCTTGATTGTCAACATATTTGTTACGTTTGGACAACAAACTATCGGCATTCCCATGGGAACCAACTGTGCCCCTTCCTTGTTGACTTGTTCCTTTATTCTTATCAGGCTGATTTCATACAGGAACTCCTTAGGAAGAAAGAAAAAAAGTTAGCTGTATCCTTTAACTTTACTTTCCGCTATATAGATAATGTTCTCTTCTACTAAATAATTCAAAATTTGGTGACTATGTTGAACGCATATATCCCATCGAACTAGAGATAAAGGATACAACAGATACAGTTAAGTCTGCCTCATATCTTGACTTACATCTAGAAATTGACAAATTGAAAACAAAACTTTACGACAAAAGAGATGATTTCAGCTTCCCAATTGTGAACTTTCCATTTCTATGTGGCAACATTTCCGCAGCGCCTGCATGCGGAATGTATATCTCCCAATTGATACGATATTCCCGGGCTTGTATTTCCTATCATGGTTTCCTTGATAGAGGGTTGCTGCTCACAAGGAAACTATTAAACCAAGAGTTCCAAATGGTGAAGTTGAAATCATTTCTTCGTAAATTTTAAGGACGCCATCACGAGTTGGTTGACCGTTTTGAAATATCCGTTTCACAGATGATAGCGGATATGTTCCTAATGTCGTACCTACAATCCCGCCCCCTATTTACGAATGTGACCTACCGAATTAGACTATTTACCAGGTTTGTACTAACATGAGCAACACGACGGGTGCCACATGTGGAGCAGGATGTGCTTACCCTTCCGGAGCACCTAAAATCACCCCCAGTTTTTGGTGGGGTTCGTGTTGCTCAGTCTTTAGTTTTCTATGTTGTGTTTTGTGTATTATTGTTTTTCTTTTTCTTTTTTAGCCATGGCGTTGTCAGTTTATTTTCGATTTATGAGTTTGAATGTCCCTCTGGTATCTTTCGTCCCTCTTTTACTTGTATTACCTTTTTATCTCGCACTTTCAACATAAATTTAATCCTGATCGGTAAAGTAGGAGAGACATTGCAGTGTGTGCACTCATGTTCTAAAAGTTGACGGACAATTTATGTGTAGTCACCTTTATGGTTTCTTTGAGAATTTGTGAAAGGTGATGATCGGCATTTTATGGAGAAATACTGGTTTTAGTCTGGATAGGTTTATTTTATTCTCTTTTGATTACAATTAATAACTCCGACAGTCTTCCACTATATTCACCCACACATTTATGGAAGTTGAAAGTTTGACGAAATACTCTGTGGGGAAAAAACAGAAATTAAAGCAACTGGTTACATTATCACATTGAAATGATGATAGATAGATATAAAGGGGCCAGACTGGATTACTGTAAAAAAAGGTTCCTATTTCGATTGGGAGCGTAACATCCAATACATATGCATG